AGAGGGTCCTTCTCTCCTCCCATCAGGGCGTTATTTTGTGGCACATACAGGAGGTGAAGCCTTTCAATGGGAGCTGGGGAACAGCCTGGGCTTAAATAATCCATGCCATGGTGCAAGGCAGGGCAAAAGAGTAACTCCACAGCCTCTGGGTGTGGAGAGATGTGCAGTGCATGTCATGCACATTTATATCTGTACGTGCTTATGTACCTACAGACTGTATTTTGTGTGTGCACACAAACTGTGGTGCATATGAAGGACTAACTTCAGAGCTACCAGACCAAATTATTCCCATTCCAGTTTTCAGCAGGATGACGACCTGAGTTTCAAGGTGCTGCCTGCCTGCAGCTCATGGGGGGTCTCTCTTAACGTTCCTCGGCTTCAAACAAAAAATGTTGATTTATCACTGGTGGTAAGAGTACTGAGGCCTCAACCAGTGTAAGATCACGTTAAAAATCCTTCACTTCTTTAGTAGTTTAATATTATTTGACTCAAGATATGCAAAGCCTCAGACTGCTCAGTATGCAGCAGGTAACTTCATGATGCCCTCTTTTTTTTTTGTTTTTTCCTTCTAAATCTGAAGTTCGTCTTAGTTCCTAAATATTGTTTAGGAAATTGATGTTGCCTCCAAAGTTAATAGCAATGCTCTGAACTCCTTTAATTGCGCAAGATCAGGCCCTCCCTGAACATACACATCTTGAACAAAGCTAGGAAGAGAACGTGGCTGAAAATTTGTTTTTAAAAAATGCTCTCTTATGGTGGTATAAGATGAGATCAAAAAGAACAGCAAGACAACTTCTTCATGAAATGACTGTAAGGTGCTACCTGCAGCTCCAACAGGGCAGTTTGCTTCAGTGCAACCTTTCTGAAGGAGCATTTGAGCTCTATTTGTCAAAATGTATTGCTGGTGATTTTTCTCCATATGAGATCACCAGTGTTTCAGGAGAGAAAATAAAAAATAAAATCGGTGTCTTCTTCAGGTTTTGAGGGGAGACGGAGCTTTGGGATGATTAAGGGCTGCACTAGGCATAAATGGCAGCTAGAAAACTGTGTTTCTAGAAACTGTCATCTGATAATTCCCACTACTCTCTTTTTCTTCTAAGAAAAACTTAGGTGAGTTGTTTGATCTTCCAATCTTTCCTTCAGATTTAAAAAAAAAAAAAACAAGACAAACTGCTGAGGAAGCAAGCTTGCTGATAAAAAGAGCTTCCTTTTGTTTTCAATAGGTGTTGCATCTCAAGTAAAGAACATCTTAGACTGGTCACAGTCAGATACGATTACTCGATTTCAAAGTAATCCAAATGAAATAAAAAGATTTTAGTCCCCTAAATCATTGTCTGGGACTGAGAGGAATGAAAAGTCACTGCAATCTATGTGACTAAAGAAATAACTTTTCAGACACACGTTGGTGTAAACAGTGAGTAGACTCCTGTAATTAATTCTTCACAAAGGCATTCAGACAGTAGTGGAAGAAAAAACGGGAAAGGATGAGACGGGATGATTACATCACTTGAAGATCCTCACGTTGGCTTGTTGGCTTGTTGTACAAATGCTGCCTTCTGCAGTGAGCTCTGTAAAAACATTCAGCTGCTTGTTTTCACGTTTCCTAGTTAAGGTTTTCACTCACAGGGTTTCAGCATTTCGTGAACGATCGCCACAAACGCACAGCTCCGGTGGACTCGGTGTCTGGTGGGGAGTTTGCTCTCACTGGAGGTGGATCAACTTCCAGAAAACATCGCAGATTTTTTTTTTTTATGCCTCTCCTGCTTAAATTATGTGCATGTCTTAGAGAGAAAAACGGTTGGAGGCAAGAATCTGTAGGTAGTTTCTTTATGGAACCCTGCTGATTAAACAGCACCGTGACAGCATCTGAGACCCAGGGTCTGTTGCTATGCTTGGATACAGAGAGGAAGACATCCAGTCAAATGTTTCTATTCCCAAAGCTGGTCTTATGGTAAAGCTGATAGAGTACCTGTTTAAAATGAGTTACTCCTCACAGGGATGGAGTCGAGCAATGACAGAAGTCTGTGAAGTCTGATATCTAAATGGATTGCTTCTCTGAAGTTTTTTCTCATATCTTGTAAATGTAAGTAGGGCCCTTCCAGCTTTATCTCTGTACACTTAACGAGTCAGAGTCACTCATCTCTCAACATACAGATTCTGTAAGGTTTTGACTTCATTTCTTTTTATAGCATTCTTTTGTGAGGCTGTATTTAAATAAAGTTAGACATGGGCTTTTCTAGGAAAGAAGTCATTTCTCTTTCTTCTGTCAGACTTGCTTGTCAGATGTGCCTCTGTATTTTTTCAGAATACTATCTCATATTAGCCTTCATTTGATATGGACCCATAACTGATTTTGGTGCTACAACAGAACAGCTTTTTCTTACCTCCTACATCACATTCTTCTGCCAGTCATGAATTCGCTCTACTTCACATGCATACACTTGCTTAATCTCTACACGAAATCATTACAACTTGAAGCTGACGTACTCTTTCAGAACGATCCCCAAACAGTAAATCACGACATATCCCACGTTCTTCCCACTCTGCACTACAGAATTTAGCACTTAATGAAAGGTACGCAGAAAATGCACTTGAACTCGGCAGTGAATCACGAGACAGACAGCTGGTAACAAAGCCCTTACCTTTTTAAACGCATGATGGTCTCTTTAAGTGGCACAGAAATCGTAGCCCGAAAAATGCAGGTCTCCTGCCTTCCGATGTACGGTGACAGTTTACACCCTATTTCCTTCCCCTCGCTCCTTCCACCACGCTACATATAGTTCATGGTGCTGTCGCCGGGATTGGCTGGTGCATCTCTGAGGCGCACACAGGACCGTGCCTGGAGCACCCGCAGCCTCGTTAACCCTTTGCGGGGAGGGCTCCCTTCCCTGCGGGAGCCCCGCCGAGCCCGCACCGACGGGCGGGCGCCGCTCCGGGGGCTGATTTCCCTTCCCTGCAAAACGAGCTGCCCTGTCCTGCCGAGGATGGGGAGAGGATGGAGAGGGAGCGGCTGGCGGGGGGTCCCGCAGCCGGGACCGGCGCTGTCGGTGCTCGCTCCGCCCGGACCCGGAGCCCCTCCTGCTGCTGCGGGCGACGGGTCCCCTCCAGCCCCCGCCTCTCCCAGTCCCCTCCCGCCCCTTTTTGGTACCTCGCCCCGGGGACACGCAGCTCGGAGGAGCGGCTGCCCACGCAGGCTGGACGCTGACACGCATCCTTAAAGGTATTCCCTGTGCCAGAGCCACATCCCTGCGTGTCCGCCTGCCACTGCCAATATTGGAAATTGGGAAATTACCTCCCGGCCAAATGGGAGTCCCAAAGCCACACGGCTTCGGGGGAGATGGAGACAGCAGAGGAGGTGGAGGTAATCCTTGGCAGTGACAGACACAGGCAAGCAGGGAGCCTGGACACCTAAGCACAGGGAAGAGGGCTGTTTGGGAGCATTCCCTCGGGAATGGGCCATTGGGCTCGGGAGGTATTTACACGCCGCCAATCTGTTGTACAAAAAGCAACAGAACCACTACAGCAAAGAAAAAACCGCCTGGCTGCTGCTCGGTATTCTTTTTTTTCTGAGTCATCCAGCACGATACGAGCAGAAGGTATCCCTGGGCTGGGAGTGCGGAATGCTGGAAATCAGGGGTAATAGGAATCTTCTCTATTAAGCATGCCTGACGCTCGCTTGTTGCAATCGCCCATTAAGCCCATACTAATTGCATTAATTTACTTGGTGGTGTAGGCAAAGGGTTTGGTGTGTGTCCCCTCGCCTTCTGCTGAGTATAGAAACGCCACCCGCTCCAACCTGTGTCACTCGCTGCCCAGACACAGTTTTACTGCCATCCGTCACAGTGCCTGTGAGCTACGCAACTCCGCTGCCCTCATCCTGTGCCCTACCATCTCCCACCCCCGTCGGCAGAGGGAATATCGAGTGCTCTTAAACCTGGGAAATATTCTGCTGATGGGCACATAAATCTCTCCTGCAGAGCGCTCGCATTTAAGCAGCACGGCGAGGAGATGCTCACCGGCTGAGCTATTCCCATCGCAAGCTAAATCCCTCAGGATTCCTGGTTTTTGGTTGTTTTGGGGTTTTTTTTTCCCTCAATGCTAAGGAAAAAAAAAAAAAAAAAGATTAAAAATCAGGTAGAGGTTTTGAAACGCACTGCAATCCTCTCTACCTAGGGAGGGAGGGGAGTATGACTGCACAGAAACTTTCCTGAGCAGACTGGTGCGGGAGGATCCCGGCAGCAGCAGCGCCAGAGGCGGGTAATTCAGGAGACACGTCTGGGATTTGGTTAATCACCTCAGACTCGTGGAAAAGGCAGGGGCAGGAGGAGGTGGGGGCAGAGGGGCAGGTCGGCGGGAATGGGAAAACCGCCCGGAGGACAGTCCACGAGAGAAGGACACTCAGCTGGAAGGAGATGTGGGCATGGGGGCTTCGAGTTGGTGGGAGAAGAGAGGAGCTGGAGGAAGGGTGGATTTGGGATCCCACGCTTGAAAGGTTTTTTCACTTCCCCTTTCTCGAAATCAGCCAGCAATTTGGAGGTCGGGAGTGGGGGGGAGGGGAGGTGGAAGGAAAAGCAGGGGGGTAGCACACTCGGGCACTGAAGGGGCCATTGGGCTTTCCCGTCTTCTGCTTTATTACCTCCAAGCAATAAATTCGGATCCTGTGTATTTCTCCCTGGTATCTCCACCTGCTTGCAAACCTTCAGCAGCCTCCTTGTGATCTCTGCATGCGCTGCTTTGGAGACACGGCTGCGCACACACGGACACACACACACCTCCCCTGCACCCGAATGACAGCTACACCGAGCCAGTCAATACCTCCCAGCGAGAGGGAACGTTTCCTCCCTACCTTCTGCTATTGACCGTGGGTGGATCTCTGACGCTAATTAGAGACACAGAAATCCTCAAAGTATTAACCACAAATAGCACTCTTGAAGGCGCTTGTCCTTTTTTTGACTTAGAGTGTTTATTTCCCTTAGTTCTTCTCTATTTTTCTTTCAAAGTAAAGAAGCCCCTACTTCATCCGAGAGACACTCCGCGCCCCAGGTAGATATACGGGGTGTACGTTTTGGGAAGACGACGCCTCTCTCCTACCCTGCACTCCTCAGGCCGGCCGAAAATACAGGCATTCCCCAAAACAGTAGTAAGTAAAATCAGGTGCGCTGGGATTGAGACATGCGGGAAGGGCACGGAGGGAGCAGCGACAGCGGCAGGACAGAAGCCCCGCAGCCGCAGGGCAGGAGCCCCCACAGCCCCCGCTGCTCCCCCGCACGCCCGGCCGCCCTCGCTCGAGCCGCTGCCACCTCCCAGCACATTCCACGGGACTGGAAATCCTTTCCTATCCTTCTGGAGAATCCTTCCCCACCTCCAATCCAATCCGAGTTCTTCAGGGGATCAGGAAGAGCGATGAACTTTTTTCCACCTGATCTCCCCCCGCGGATTCCCAGACATTCCTCAGGCATGCTCACGGCTCCCTCAGCCACCAGCATTTCTGTCCTTTCCCCTACACGGGGGGGGGGGGGGAACCCTGAGCCCTTCCAGCATCCACGGCTTTGTCTGCAAGGGTTAAACCAGGGAATGGAGCAGGTGAGGCGCCCGATGGAAACATGAATCGAATGTGGTGAGCAAGCGGTGAGATGGGGACGGCTCTGGGAGCGGTGCTGCGGTGCGCGCTGCCAACAGCGCCGGGCGCTGGCGATGGATGTGGGCACAGGACTGGTGCTTCCTAATTCCTTCGAGTTTAGAAAGTGGAGCCAGCTCGGCCAGGAGCAAGGCGAGGCAATACTTTTTTTATCATTTTATTTTTTTTTATTATTTTTATTTCTCCCTGTCGTTAGTGTCCTTTCTGTCGGAGACACGCCACCTGAACGCGAAATCAAACCTACTCACCGGGTGAAATCGCAGGAGGCGAAGCGGCTGTGAGCAAAACGCGTCCCGGCTCCGAGCACATAGTCCATGTTCTGCGGCTTCAGGCTAGAGCAGGGCTGAGCAGGGCGGGGGGACTTGGGGAACCGGCAGCAGTTCTGTGTGTGAAACAACCCATTTACACCGTGCGTGCCTGTCTGTGTGTGTGTGTAGGGCAGAGAGAGGCTCCAGACCCAAAACGGGGAAAGGAGGGGAGGAGGGAGGGAGGAGAGAGAAGGAGGAGGAGAGAGGGAAGCAAACCCGAATAGCGAGAGGAGTTGCGGGGAGGAATGGGATTTGCTGGGGTTGAGGTGGGGTTTTTTGGTGGTGATGGAAGCGATTCTCGAGGAAAGAATAATAAACTGCGGGATCTCAGCAGCAGGCAGGATGGAGAGGGGCTTTGCCCAGGCAGGTGGAGCACCGAGCAGCGGGAGGCTGGAGCGAGCCGGGCGGGCCACAGAGGGCCGGGGGGCGGCTCAGCCACCGGCCGGGGCGCTGGGGACGCCGCTGGTCGGGCTCTCGGGCTCGGGGTCCGCGGGGCTCGGGGGTTCGGGGGGCTCGGAGTCCACGGGGCTCCGGGTCCGCGGGCCTCCGCCACCTGCCTGGGTGCGGGGGGAGTGGCGCAGGGGGCGCGGGAGCCGCGGAGCGGGGACAGCGACACAGCCGGGTAGGGCTCCAGCGAGCCGCAGCGGCGACATCGACCGGGTAAGAGCATCCCAGCTTCCTGCTCGGCCCCCACCCTCGGCCAACCCTTTGTTTCACAGCCTTTTATTTTATTTATTCCGCAGCCCGGCTGTCGGAGGGGCTCTCCCCGCATCCCCTCCCCGCTGTCCGTTCGTGCCCGGCAGGGAAGGGCTGCGAGTCCTGGAGCGGGGAACGGGCTGTGGGAGCGGCGCGGGGAGGCGACACCGCGGCGAGGAACCTCTGCGGAGGAGGGAGGGGGAGCGGAAATGCCCCTGCTCATCACCCGTGCCTCTCTCCTGCCCTGGGTAAGAGGAGCATCTCCCCTTCATCTCCCTCTTCATCCTCCCCCCCTTGCTTCTCGGCGCTTCCAGGCTCTCTGTATGGAAATCACGAGCTGGCTCGGTGGAAAAATCTCCCTTTTCTTCGCATAGTGCCTCTGGAATGTGTGCGGAATCTCAAGGTGTGTGGGGGAGAGGGAGGCAGTGCCAGCATTTTATGGAGCTTGGTGTGTGTCCCCCCCTACCCCTAGTCCCTCTCCTCCATCCGTGCTGTGAGCAGACACGCGTTCATGGCTAATAAAAACGCTTTTCCCTGTGTATAATTGGGCTGAGAGCTAAACCGAAAGCCAGTCCGTGTCCGGGAGCAGCCTGCAGATCAACCAGGAGCTTTGGCATCCCTGCGGTGTAGCCTGGCTGTGTTCACCTCATGCTTCCCGGGATCAATAAGCACACTAACCATACCGATTATGTGATGTATACGTTGGGCAGTACGGAGTGATCGCAGCATTACACCAGCACTTGTCTGCTGTGCTACATGTGGTCTTCAAAAAAGAGATGGTAATTTTTGCGGATTTTTTTGATCAAGAAAGTTTTTGTCTTCTCTCCATTACCTCTGTAAGCACCAGTTCACGGCCGTTTGCCAGTCTGGCAGTTTTATGTTTCCAGAATCTGTCACGAAATATTCGGAAACCACAGAAACCCAAGATTCCTCTGGCATCACGTCGGTTTGTTCCTGCCAGCATGTTTGATCATTTTTATGCTAAATGAGCTGATCTTAGTAATGATTTGCCCTGCTTGGGGTTTTATTGACTTTTTCATTAGCAAGGAGGTAAGAAAAGGACTGAAGGAAGGATGTTACAGTTTGTGAAAAAAATGCAGTGTCCATTTCAATTGTAGTAGCTGTTAAATATGTAGGCATATGTATGCTGCCTTATGCAGTTATAAAAATGAAAGACATGCCATCTTGCCTCCTTGCCTCAGAATATGATTTCTCTCACAGCAACAAGTAGCACAGGCTCCTCTCTCCCCTTTTCTCCTCCCCTTCAGCCCCTCCTGACAAAATGCCAGTTATAAAGGTCAGCCTGTTTATGTAAAGACTGTGTGTTTCTTAACAAAGACCGCTGCAGATCAAGCCTGCAATGACTATCAAATAGACTTGGGATTCAAGACACTCAATAAGAGCACTGTCCATTTTCTAGGACTGATGAAATCCCAGGCAAAACAGAAGACAAAGAGCCGTAGCGTGTGACTGGGGTAGGTCACCAGCACCAGGGTGCACACGGGCAGCAGTGTCTTCATAGCAGTGTTTGGTGCTGCAAATGTTGGCAAGATCCACTGGAGCTGTGTATGTACCTATATGTGTGTGGGTGTGAGAGAGAAGGTGTGAAAAGAGATTTGCTGATATGCTAATGCTCTTCTGCTCTTCTCTTTAGGTTTCGTCCTCTCTCTAACGACGTCCTTAGGCTGAACTTGCTTTGCAGCTCCTTCACACCAAAGGCAGCTTGAATCAGCCAAGGAGAGTTTTGAGTCTGACCAACCCCACCCTCCCAACAGAAGAGAAGAGATCGACTTCATTAGTCTTTGGCTTTGCAATGAGGTGTTTTCATTTCATAGCGTCCAGAGGTGCAGTGCACACGGTCTGATCTTTATTTCACTGTGCTCTCTTTCCCTCACTGCCACCTTCTTTCACCCGAAGAGCAGTACAACTTGGTTTCCTCAACTAGCATAACCTCTGCTGGCCCTTTTCCACTTTAAATCTAATAAGAACATTCTGATATTATTCACTTCCTAGAATTATAGAATCACAGAATGGTTTGGTTTGAAGGGACATTAAAGATCATCTCGTTCCAGCCCCCTAACACAAGCAGGGCCACGTTCCACTAGACCAGGCTGTTGTTTTTTAACCTAAAGGTTAAAAAAAGTTACTTTATAATTACAACACAGATCTGCAACAGTGGTCAACTCCAAGACCTAATTGTGGCCACAGTTCACTTTTGGCTCTTAAAAATCACCCTGAAGCAGAGTTAAAGGGTTGTAGAGGACTATGATGCTTTTTGTTCAATGATGTTAATAATCTATGGCCTTTGAATATGATATCACAGAGTCTCATCCTAGGGCAGAATAATGAAATCACAAGCAATGGAACGGGGCAGAAACTTATATCAGTCCCCAAAATACTAAATGCAAACTGGGACCCAATCTGAACTGAGGAGCTGCACATCTGATGTCAGAGGGGAGGGGCACTTCAAGACCTCCCATCCTAAAAGCCTTGTGGCCCTGAATTACAGGCCATTAGATTCCTTTGTCCTGTAAATCTGCGTTAAATAGCAGCGTGATTCTGTGTCGGTAAACGCAGGTTTTAACAGCTTATCCCATAATATTTTAATTTTTCTTCATCTATTCAGCCTTTTCACCCTTTTTCTCCCAGGACCTGCTTATGCTTCTCTTTAGCTACCGAAAAATGTATGTAATTTATTAAGCCAGTTCAGTAGTTCTCTTAGTTTCCAGCAGACAAACCTATTATGCAAACAATACTGTCACCTTCTTGCAGTGCCTTCTCCCGGCTGTAATGAATTCTCTGCATGCTACTCTGCTGTAAATTCTCCATCTAAAAATTCCACGCACTACGTGTTTTGTCAGGGGAAACTGTACTTGACTTTTGAAACAGTTGGGAGGAACAAAATGATAACCTACTAAAGTGCCTTGCCCTTAACTTGAAATTATGGCAAGTAATTAAAGTTAGAGCAGAAAGACTTAAACTTTGGACTGCTTATGTTCTTAGCGTTTTTGCTGGGATGAGGTGTTTTTTTTTTTTAGATGTCTGATTTGAATGTCAAATTTGCATATTCATCTAGAAAACAGAGGGAATGCTTAATTGCCTGTGTCCAGTGTTCATATTTTTCTTGGGAAACAACGTTTCATATACTCATGGGTTTCATTTCTAGTTACTATTCGCATCCATAAATTGAACTGGGTGTCTAAACAAGTCCTGTATTTGCTGATTACACAAACAAATATGCCATATTTAGAATTTTGCTTTATAATCGTATCAGAGATACCTGGAATTGCAGAACAGCCCGGGTTGGAAGGAAAAGGGAGCCTAGATGAGATTATCTAATGCCCTGTTCACTCACATATTGAAACCCTCCAGCGATGGGGCACTGCCAGGGAGGCAGCAGACTCCCCCAGGAAGTGTCAGCTCAGCAAACTGGCCCTTCTGTTCCCCGCAGAAGGAATTCTCCTGTGACAATAATCCAACCTCTTCTCCTTATGGAAGCTGTTTTGACTCAGGGCACAGACCACTAACCTTGGTGACACCTCCAACCTTTATGAAGCATTGTCCTCGTCTTGTTCCCACCCTCTTGCAGAGCCTTGTGCCTGTTATCCATGGGCACCTGGGAATGTGGAGCAGTCCCAGAGGAGACGCTGCCACTGCAGTGCTGTGGTGGGTCTGGCTGAGCTGGACTTGGTTTCCCATCCTGTCCCTCCCAGGGCTGTGCTTTGCAGTGGGAGCTGGAAAGGTGTTGATAACACACCAGGGGATGAGCAAGGTCCTGGGAGGGGACACAGCTGGGCCACCTATCCCCAAAGTGACCAAAGGGATATTCCAGACCATGTGACATCAGCTCAGAGATAAAAGCCAAGGGAAGCAGGAAGAAGGGGGGCATTTGTTATTTACAGTATTTACCTTCCAGAGCAGCCACTCCATGTGCTGAAGCCCTTCCTGGGAAGTGGCCAGACATTTCTTGCTGATGGGAAGTAGAGGACAAAATGTTTGGGTTTTTTCTTTGCTTGTGTGCACACAAACTTTTGCTTCAGTAAACTACCCCATCTCAACCTGGGAGTTATTCTCTCTGCCCCACCTGGCTGAGAAGGGGACAGAAGCTGAGAAGGGGGACTGACAGAGTGGCTTAGTGAGCACCTGGTGTCCAGCCAAGGTCAAACCACCCCAGCTGGGCAGGAATTGTCACTATTGCCCCCAATCCCTTCAGTCACTGTATTCAGCCAGGGAGAGAGAGGATGGGGAATCCTGCAAACCATGTGTCCCATCTGCATGGTGGGCCTGTCCCAGAGGAAGGCAGGCTGTGAGTCCAGTAGCTGCTCTCTCTCTCATACTACCTGATACTCCTCAGCCTGCTCCCCTCCTCCCAGAGCTCCCAGGTTCCCCCACACCAGGACACTCTCCCCATGCCGTGTACTGTACAAGAGCACTTGGCTGTGGACCTGAATTCCCCCCCAGCCTTCTCTTCTCCAAGGAGAGAACACCTGATTCCTTCAGTGCTTCCTCACAGGGCAGGTTCTCCAGCCCTTTGATCATCTTCCTGGCCTTCCTTTGGACCCTCTCTTGTCTTTCTGCTTCTTTCTTGAGCTGTGGGGACACCAACTGGACACGGTGCTCCAGGTTCCTTCCACAGGCTCTAGTGGAAGGTGCCCCTGCCCATGGCAGGGGGTTGGAACCAGATGGTCTTTAAGGTCCCTTCCAACCCAAACCATTCTGTGACTGGAGGTGCAGCATGACAGGTGATGAGTAGGATGGGAAGATCCCACTCTGTCCCCACAGATGCAGCCCAGGACCCCATCTGCCTTTTAGCCACAGCAGGCACTGCTGACTCATGATCACTCCTTGTCCACCAACATATTTTGACCTATACATTTCTGCTTTAGCAGAGATATGATTCACTGGAATAAAATTATATCCACTGAGTTTTTCCTCACTTGCAGAGGAGATTATTTTTAGGAACTCCCAACATTTCACTTACGGAGAAGGAACTAGTAGTGTAGAATTTCTTTAATTTCTCCCCAAAAGTCAAAGAAATACAGCATGTTTGCCTATTCACTTGCTCTATCCTTTGGCAGCAAGGGATAAACTTAAAAGGCTGGGGTTTTTTCAGGCTCTTGCTATCATTAAAGCACCAGTTTTCTGAGGTAGAACAACCTCTTTGAAGATATGGTATTTACTGTTTTCTGATGGTATTAATTGCAAGACCTGTAAGCTCACATGAGCTTACTGGACACAGCCAGACACACACTGCTAGGAGGAATCTTTTTTTATTTTTTTAAGTTGAGACATATCTTAGCCATGTTTCCATGACCAGTGGCCACGCAGGCATTTTTAAAATAACCTCTGATGTGTTCAGGTAGCCAGACTTCAGACAATCACAGAAGTCTCTTGTTACTTTCAAGAAAACGAAAAGATATTTGTAGAGGACAAAAGTAAAGCAGGGGTTACACTTTAAATCATATTGAAGTGTTGTGGTGGAGAGTCCTAGGCATCAAGTTTGCCTGTTTTCCTTAGGAGAAAAATATCCAGTGGCTGCAGTACCCCAGTACCAGAAAGAATATCCTACAGAAGTGGTGTAATATGTACTTCCAGGAGTTGATATGATGGATACAGAATGGAGGCCTCTCTCCCACAGGCAGTGACTTTACAAGCAGTGTGAGAAGCACTGGCCTGACACAGAGTCAGCAGATTTGTAGAGGAATTGAGGTGTAATTTCAGTGTACTGTGTTTAAATACAGAAGCCATGCAGCTTCCATTGAGTTTTAGCCCCGGTTGACCTTAGTGTTGTCACACAGACTTCAATAAAACCTACCTGTTGGTGCTGTGTTACTTCTGTGTGGTCAGAAATCAATCTCTTCCCAGAGAGGTCAGAATCTGAAATGCATTTGAATTAATGGTGGAGGACAGAAGCAGTGCTGAAATGAAGATAAGACCCCTCAATGCATTTTCTGTGGTGCACATAAAAAATCAAGACCCACATTCAGACAAAATGAGTTTTTTGAGGGGTGCTGGAGTCCAGTGAAGTGTTGTTACAGCTGACACCTGGTACAAAAGACAGACTTAAGTTGTAGGAAAAGCAGTTCTGTATTCAAGATGTAAGGGATCCTGATTGGAGTCTTGCACCTGCCCTTTATGAATGTTTGCAGAAGTAAAATATGTATTTGCCAGAATGTACAAAAGAAATTTGTCATGGACCAAAAAGGGAAGAGAAGAACAGGTATCAGGGAAAGTCTCAGTTGATGCTTTGCAGTGTCAAGGAATTGCACACTAGAAAGGCAGAGTTTTGCTGAGTTTTAGGGTGGCTATGCTGTGAAGAAAAAAGCTTGTAGAGAAAGTAATTTGCATTTGGAAAAGAGATTATTTTACAGATATTGGTTCAAGTTGATAGTCATTCCCTGAATAGCATCTGGTGTATTATCTCAATAGATCTTGTTATCTCCCATAGAAATGAGCCAAGAAAAGTATCTGTAGTAAAATTTGAAAATAACCTTTGTTATTATATGTCATTAACTCACAAGAATCAAAATACGTGGCCACCAATGACAATGAATAAGAACAATACAGTTTCCTGAGCAGTCTGTTCCATGCATTTCCAGTCTCTAGAATAATAATAATAAAATAATAAAATACAGCAATTTTATGAGCATTTATCATTTGCCTGGGCTGTGCAGCTAATGAGACAGAAAAAGCATGAAGAATTTGTATGGATGAACTCCATTTACCCAATTTCCAACTCAAACATAATGATAGGAAAAATAAGCAATATCTGCATAAAGCTGTGTATTGGGTTTTTGCTTTTTGCAGTTCCTGTCTTGCAGCAGCCTGGGCTGAGTCATTATGGCACACAACAGGTATGTGCTCCTGTCAGCAGCAACCATCACCCTTGTGACATTTCTACTGCTTCCAGCTGCTGGGGGGCCATAGCAGGAAGATGTCAGATCCTCTTCTCAGTCACAGAGGAAAGGAGGCAGTAAAAAAGACGTCTCTTACATCATTTATTTGATTACGTTCTCCATTTGTCACAGCAGTGCAGCACAAAGGGTTTTTGTGAAGCTCTCTGGAATCTTGCTGGGCTGTAAGCACGCATTTAAATAGCCTCAGTAAACAAGGATGGCTTCGTGTCTTTAGCATGTGTTTTGCTGAATCACAGGGCAACAGGAATTCGTACATTTAAGGTGGTGCAAATGTCTTTTCCAGAAAGCCAAATTTTCAGTTGCATTTCTTTAACTTATGTTGGAGAGAAAGCAAATAAAACCTCGGAAGCTGGTTCAAAAAAAAGTCATGCATTCAGTTTTGAGTTATCTGCCTTGACGTTGCTCAGCCCTAGAAATAACATTCACTTTTTGGCAGAACTCTCTGACACAGCACAACACTAAGTCATGTTCCTACTTGGAGCATTAGGAGACCAGACATCTGTTACCTTGTTTGTTTGGGTTTGTTTTTTTTTTTTCAGATAAAGACACGAAAAGCAACGCTGACAAAATGTATTAACACGGGATAATCTCAGTGTTCCCTTTAGCTGTGCATTTTAAATGGCTGAGTAAAAAAAAAAACCCTACAGCATAACAACAGAGCAGCCCTGAGGTAACATTGTCACTGAGCACTGTTTGAACTGTCTAGAGGCAATACAAGGTCTTCTCAACCAGCTGCTAGAAGTTATTGGACAATTAATTGTCACTATATAATTGGCATTATATATATTATATTGGGAGTATATATATATTGGCAATTGGGTTTTTTTAGACAATGGAGCACTATTAGAGTCTGAATAAATGTTGTAGCTAGAAGCTGGTATGTGTGTTAATCCAAATGTGGTTGGTATGGCATCAGCCAGTGGACCTGTACCTTACAGTTAGTGCTCCAGCCACTTCCTGCTCTTAAGAAATAATGACAGCATGGGAGTTTCTTTTTTTTCCAAATTCAATTGTCATCACCATAGTGCTGTTAATGCAAAGAATTGCACAAATAGAAAGAAAAATGCGGTTACAAGTAAATGAAGAAAACATTTGCAGCTTCTCTGATTTCCGAATGAGTAAACCATTTCTTCTTCTGGGTAATGAAAACGAGAAGGCCAAGGGCAAGGATATTCAACT